TTTTTTTTTTTTTGCCCAGAAGAAGCTTAAAATGATTCTATAGTTCGATGAGACATTAAGTCTGATAATCACGACGAATCGTCGTCCTAAGCAGCACAGTTTATCAGCGCGTGCCATTTCACATAACAGCGAAGTGATAACAGAATAAAGCATGCACTGACTGTATCAGTTCAGATGAGGAAAGCCCACAACAACGGCATTCCTACCGTGCAGCCGCTTGTTTTGAGCAGTATGTTTTTTACAGTCTATCATTGCCTAGAATACTTGGCACAGCTAAAATTCGGAATATTGCCGTCTATGCAGCTGATAGCTTTTCCAATAGCTTTGACCCTGTGCTTCCTCTGCGCCAGTCACTACGTTGGTGATTCTGGCCTTACTAACTAATGTCAATTTTAAAAATTAGCGCTTTTAAATTTGCAGAAAAACAGCTTCCACTTTAGACAGTATTGCAAAGAGTGGAAATTGTGAGCAGATCCAATAGAATCCATGAGAAAAATCGTGATACAATGAAATGGTAACCTTAATAAAAAAAATACTGAAAAAAATAAAAAAAAAAAGATAGTAAACAGTAAACTTCGACAATTTCTAAAGAATTAACATACCGAGAGCGAAGGAATCAAGGATGAAGAATCTCAAGAATCAAGGATCTAGCTTAACTTCGTAGGGGCAGGCATTCGTGCTTGATTGCTTCATACAAAAGTCAATTTTAACATTTATGATCAAATGTTCGGGTTATTTAATTCTATAATTTCATTACCGCTTACAGGAGGAAATGTTCAACAGCCGCAGAAGGTGCAAGAACGACGGAGTTCAAGCAGCAGTGAGAAGTCGCCTACAAAAAAGTCAAATAATTTTCTGGATTTCTGGAGGTTCGTTGTTTCTTCAGCAACTCGTCCTGTGCTTTCATCATTGTCTTAGAAACCATTGGCGCTTTTTTGGAGGCCATTCGAGTAGTTGTTTACTGCCCTATAAGAATTATTTGCCAATGCGCAAAGACCACTAGTTGTCGGCATGGTGAAGCAGTTCTCCAAATCTGTTGTTAAATTTTGCTCCGATCAGCTATGTAGGCAAGTTTGGTGGGTTTAGCGAAATCCTAAAATTTTGAAGTATTAACTTTCTGTGTTGTTATACTATTGCTCTAGCTATTTTCTCAGTCAGGAGACAAATATGCACTGAGTGGATGGCAAGCACCGATGTATAGTTCAAGATTGAAGGGTTTGACGCATTTGCGTCTGACTTGAGTCAGCATTCCAGAAACGTCACTAAACTTCGGATTCTTAGATCGACTGTCCAGGCTACCACCGAGTTTATTCGGTGCCATTGTAATAATTTCTGACAATCGTGGCGACCAATCTCAGTTCTTTTAAGTGGAAGCGTCTGCCAGAAAAAACAATGACAAAAACCTGCGAGGGACGCGCTATATTTTTATTATTTTTAATTTTCAGCTGCAAATTGTGTCTATTCAACACTTTACAAGGCAATGAAGTAGATGCACTGAAGCGTCATCTCGTAGCTGTTTCAGTGAAGCAAATGCTCGAGAGCGAGCAACAGGCTATTGCGGACTTTCTTGTCGAGGTAAACTACCAATTTAATGTCAAAAGATCAGGATCACCAGTAGCAGGCTGACTATCACCAGCCGACGCGGCATTGATCAAAGCAACAGGAAAAGTTGACAAACTTATAATTTGAGAACGAGGCTCTGAGCTGCAACTAATGCAAATTTCCCAGTTAAAATCCGAAGAAATTCCAGGAGCCAAGATTTTACAATAATTTCTGTTTCCCAATGAAGATTGTTTGAGCTAATTTATTGTAGAGTCACAAAATTTTTTTAGGACGCAATTCCAGCAGCGATTGAAAACAATGCCTGCAAAATTTTTGGATGCGCTACTATAAATTTGAACAGTGCGCTGAACAGGGGAAATCTCGATGCCCTGGATCGACTTTGGCAGCTAACGTTAAACCAGATAATACCAAATATGGAATCTATGCTGTTTTCACTTAAGGTAACATATAGAATATGTCCTTAGACGCCCGAAAGACCACTTAAACTTATTTTACAAATAATATTCAATTAACA